GGCCTTTACCAATCAGATTTGCATTTTTTTTTTTTGAAAGATGTTTTGTATCTATTGCAGTCCTACAGTATACTGTATACAAAATATTCATCAATTGGTAAATTTTAATTTTTCACTTGTTTTTAGTTATAGTTTTGCTTAATTATATATTTTATTTGTGGAATTGGTTTGGCGCAATAGTCAGGGTTTTAATCCTTCGCTGTGTCCTTGGGTGTTTACTTGTGTCCTTGAGCAAGACACTTTATCTACATTGCACACGTCAGTCTAACAGCAGTATTAACGGATACAAACTACTGGGAGTAACTTGCGGTGGACCAGCGTCCTACCCAGGCGGGAGTTTCACACTCTCATCCGCTTCACGCTTCAGAAACTGGAGATAAGCTCTAGCCATATGCTGGAGTCCTAGTGGCTCGGCAAGGATTTACTTTATATATCACTACTATGTACTTCATAGCTCAAAAAAATAATGATGGTTTGCACTGAGAAAAAGACAAACAAATTTACATTTCAAACATTGCAGGTATGCAATAAAGATTCATATTTCAAATTGTAGAGAGAGTAAAATTATAAATATTACAGTGTATAATTACAATGACAATTTTTTAATCGTTTTTTTTTTAAATTGCAATGTAAGAAAATATAAGAAATCAATATAATATCAACTGTAGTACAGTAATTATCATCAATGGAGTAGAAATGATTTTATAACAAAATTTACATTGTTCAGCTTTAATTATAGTCAAGGGTATAATTATGTGAAGTGAACACTATTCTTAGGACAGTACATAGACAAGTAAACCATTTCAACTACTGTACTGTCAGGTTCATTCTTTGAATATCAATTATTAATGGATTCAAGAATCTTTACATTAGTGAATGTGTTAGACTGTTTTTGCAGACACATGGACACTTAGTACATAAAACAATTATAAATCCTATTACTAAATATAACATACACATAACAGGAAAAAAGTTATAGCGCCAAAGATGGCGTCCCCTTCAATCTATAAGTTCAATAATTTGAAAAATAAATAACGTAAATTGTAGGTGTGTGTATTTATATTGCCCTATAAAGGTCAAGGTTGATTTAATATAAATTCCAAATTTTAACCATTTTTAAGTGTGGAAAAATCCCCCCTTGTTATAAGTGCTAATAGGTACATTTAACAACCTACATCTGTCCACTTTAGTAAAATGGCATATTATTCAATGGGAAAGCAATGGTGGATTAAATTTACATATATGATTTATGAAGCACCAGAGACGCAGTACTGCACATTATCCATGATGCAATTGAATATTGTGTTTGATTCCATCATTTCAACCAATTGACAGGGATGCAAAAGTCTTTTGCAAGCCTCTCAGAAATTGGCAGTCTTCTGTACTCTCGCATGCAAGCAAACATCTGGTAAACTAGACCATTTTTGAATGTTTTATTGACTGCGTAATATTATCACCGCGCAATATAGCAAAATACGCTGTGTCAAAAAATCTCATAATATCAAACCAGGTTTCCCTGAAGTGGCTTCTTCCAACTTGCCCTCTTTGTAGAATTATCAATTATTGTTAAGTCTTATCTCATTATCAGCTTCCCTAGCATTAATTAGTCAAGTACTATAGAGATGTAAATTTCATTACAACACATCTCCATTGTTTACACTTTTTACTGTACTTGCTGATAATATATATTCTTTTTAATTTTTTATTCTGTGGAAGGTGGTGAGGCTGTTGATTTTTATTGTTTACCTATACTTATGAACCAAGTATATACACACATATGATTTCTTCCAACATTTCTATGGCTAAATACAGTACATGTCTTGTTATATTTGTTTATACAGAACATTGTTTACTTTCAATAATTAATAATGGTAGCAAGGGTGAGTATGGTTGGTAAGGAATTCTACTTTGGTGCAATACAAACCAAGTTTGACATCTGTCAACTTGCCAGAGACAATTTACTGTGTGTGGGATATTGGCAAAGCCACACAAATACAATACCATGGTACACTACTCAAATATAGTAGCGGATTTTTGCGACTAGCAATGTTAGGTGCTAAATTTTCAGCTGCTGCAGATCCCCATGGGCCTAATTTTATTATTGAATTTTATTTTTTTACCAATTATTACGGTATAGTATAGCACCATTATACCTACAGTACTCTAACCTATTTTCTATCAAATATGTGAATATATAACCTCTTTTCTATGACAACTATATAATAGTACTACACCATAAGACCCACACAGTGAAATATTTAGACTGTTATATATGATGTGCTTATTGGTCTTGATGCTCAAGAAAATTCAAATAACAAACAGATACTCGACTGTATAGAATCGTGCATACAAATTTCATCATAAATCCTACTACATAATGCTAAAAAGCTCAAAGTAAAACAGTCTCAACTCAGAGTCTCGATGCTAATTCAAATACGGTAATGAACAGAAATTGAACTTTGAATATTTTAAGAGAATTCTGCAATAGTCTCTTGATTATTATTAAATTAACATTATGTATTCTAGCCTATAGGATATACTCTGTGAATATTAAGTTGCTATCAAAACAAGTGTGATTCAATATTTTTAACTATCTACAGACAAATCCAAGAACACTCTCTATTGGTGTCATTGCTAGGGACCTCTTTTGGGTCCCCTGCATGCATGTCCTGTCCATGCACAGTGGTGCAAAGTATTTAGAGTACCGACATAATAGTCGTGTATTAGGCGGCCTGCATATAATACAAATCCCGAGATTGAGAAGGTTTTTGGATGATTTTTTGAACCCCCCCCCCACTTTTTTTTTATCGTAATTTGCTATTTTAAGCCTTGTCTTAAATGTGAGTATATACGGTAAATTACGATGCAAACAACATCAAGCACATACAATAGTTCCTATATTTACATTTGTAGCAGACGATACATAAGAATCCCCCATGGTAGGCCCCCATGGTATATAGCAGCAGAATAATCACTGTAAATGGATCAGTCTATATGTTCCACTTTAGGAATAAAAATCGTACAAAACAGTTCTTGAAGGCCTGAATGACCATCAGTTGCTATGGAATCCTCAACTGTAAATATCATTCAGTCATTTACAACAGTTGATAATATAACAATATTTGTCCCTTATTTATTGTTGTTTTCACTCTCATCTAATTACTGTTTTATATATTGTTTTCTTATCTTCATTACATAACCAACACAAATTTACAAAATATAAGAAAAAAACCTATATTTGGACACATATTACATGCTGCAAACACAGACAACAACTACTGTAATTTGTCAATGAATTTTGCTTAAAGTAGTACTCTACTGACCTTTTCTCAAATTTGCAACAGCCCAGAGTAAAATGTGTTTAATAGTCAGCAGGCAAGTCTACTACTGTAACGGTTGTACTAGACATGCACAGCATTAGCCAATCATGGTACGGAGAAACAGGATGTTTTCATTTTGAAAAGCATGAAGAATTAATGCTAATGTAGCTTATGAAAATAATTAACTGAACATTATGTGACAGCCCCTTTAACAACAAACTTTTAATAAAAGCATAAAAACCCAGTACTTGATGAATAATGCAGCGTAATCATCATCCTGTTGATGGACTTTGCCTCCAAAGCACAGCTTTACATTTTTCAGTAGTAGAATTATAACCATCACATCCGTATCTCACCGACTTTATTTCCATTACGCCCCACTCATGTTCACCAATAGAAACCAACTAATTTGTGTAAAATTAGATCTCTTGCATGTTGTACGGTATGTGCATATCTCATGTGCATTAGTCCCTAACTACTGTAGATAGGGAGATTGACAAAGAAATACCAAAATACTAGAAGTGTTATAATCTATTTTATTACTTTTTCATTGTAAAGGAATTTGTGTATTGATACTGATTTTAAAAATGTGTTTAAACCAAACAATAATAACTACGTTTTTTAACTCTGTACATATCCTACATTTGACTTGTGGCTTCTGGATAAAAACAAACTATAAGAATTCCCTATCAAACAATGTGGAAGTTCTGAAAAAAAACAATCATGAAATGTGTTTATAATCCTTCATATCTACTGCTTTCTCTCGAAAATTATCCAACTTGTTTTAGAATAGAAATTAATTTAAATTTGATGTTAAAATAATATTAAAATCACAGGAAGGATAAGGGATATTAAATTTCACTGTTTACCACTTGTTTCTTTTATGTACGAAATAACAATGGTTAATAATATGGTTATTAATACAGCAGATTGTGTAGCGTGGCTGGTAACGGCTGGAGTACCATTTAATGATGAGGATCGCAAAAGGAAATTTATAAATGGCTCTCAATAGTAGCAGGACATCATAATTTTTTTTGTCACAAATAAATAACAATTTCACTCCCTAAGCACTGACAGAGTATATAAAGCATTACTTAGATCCTGTGATAAGTCAATCCCTGTGAATGAATTGAAAAATATAAATAATATTTTGCAATTTTTAAATGATTGTATATATTTCATTATAACGTAAATTTCACTTAAACTCTAATGGTAAAGTATCCAATGGTTAACAAAACATGACAATACCTACTAAGCTGCAACACTAGATAACACCCACATGGAACTGTAAATGTGTTCTAAGAATTGACAGTAAATCCAACGACTGGGATAATAATGCGAAGCACTTAAAGAGTACATTATGGACTTTAAGACTGACATTAAAATATCATTATTATATTATGACAGATTATTTCGACAGAACACCTTTATAACAGTAAGATACTGATTGAATATTACTGTATATATATTCATTTGCTTTCATCCACCCATGCTCCCGAGAGATAAAATTTAATGTTTTTATGCAGTACATTTAAAAAACTGAATTACAAGGTACAGTAAGTAGCAACCATTTTGTGAATTCCTACCAACAGATCAATACCAATGAAGAAGATGAGCAAATAACATTTGTCAACACTCAATATTATACAGCATGGTACCAAGTTATCCAGATAAACTCACCATTATCATCCTCTCCAGATGGGTTGCCACTAACAACAGAGGAAGGAAGAAGAAGAAACCCGGAAAAAGTACCAATAACAAGGAGATATACGGAGCACTTCATCCTCAGAATATCATCCTTGCCGCCATCGATAAATCCCAACGACTGACACCGATACCCTGTGAATATTTCTGTCAAAACTTGATTCCTCTAGTATACTAGGTGTAAAATACCTATTGTACTCTAATGCAACAGGTGGTAAGGACCTCACGGAATCGTCCATTCTTTAGAAAGGGGGGAGGAAATAGACAATAGCACAAAACATTGAATAAATAGCTGTAATTGATTGCTTCCGTTATTAAAACTCCTTATAACTAACTATGATGTTAACAAAATAGAACAGCCTGGTGAGTCTAAAATAAGAGTTTGTAAATTAATTTAACTTTATAGTTAATAAAAACTCTTTGCCTGGGTGGTTCATCCTACTGTAGATCCCTGGCATAATGTCAATCAAAACAGGATTTTTATCATGCTGAAAATTTCATCAACAAACTTAATGAAAATATACGACTAATTACACAGCAACGCAAATAAAGAGTGAGGGTTGGTTATCCTTTGTCCTTATGGTCCTATTGATAGTAATAACCAATCTAATGAGAAATCAGTCGACCATTGCAGCTGTTGACAAAACTTGGGGTTATTTTCCTTCTTATAAGATCATTGGCTATGATAGAAAAAATATAAAACCTTATATTTTAACAAATTATTTTATCCTTGTATTTTATCTTCTTGTACACCTGTATTTATATTTTTTTATACAATTATAATTCACGTGGACAGATCCAGAGATCTTTCCGGCAGGTGAGTGGGGGGGGGGGGGGGGCTGATAGGCTGATCGTGAGACAACACTACCCTAGAGAAATTTCTGTTTCCTAGACTCCTGGAAATAACATCTGAGGCATTTTGGGCAATCAATAATTTCTTTTTTTTCTCTCTTTTCTTTTTACTTTCCAAAAGGAGGTGGCATCCTTCCCCCCTTAATCTGTCCCTGATTCACAGATTCATTTCTATGTTAGTTGACTCACTAAATGGAGAATTGTAATGTATAAAAGGAGTTTAATGTCATTTTCCTCCATAAAAAGGCCAACAACCACTAAAATTGGGGATAAACAAAATTTCAATGTAAACAAAAAGAAATCTTAAGGCAAAGGGCTGATTCACTTTTTGGAAAGTAATGCAATTTTAATTTTTTTTTAAATAGGAAAAAAAAGTTTTAATTTTAAATATTTCCTTCAGTCAAATGTAATATAGTACTCAAGCTAAAAATAAACACAAGGTCTCTGTGAAATTATTGTTCAACTCAAAGTAGGACAAGCTATTGTCAAAGAACCATCAAAGTACATCAGTTAAGTTTACTGTACTAAAAATTCATCACTAGCTTCCGATTCTTAGAATGCAAGCCAAAACAATCTGTGACCCAATTACCTTTTTGTGACTAAATTGGATGCAAACCATCAAAGAGCGTAATTAAAACTACTGTAAATTGAACATCTAACTTGTTACTTGAAAAATTATTCACTGTGCTTAGCCGTCCAAATATCATTGGAGTTATATTTGATTCTTTCAACAATAACAAATTAACATTAGCACACATAATTCTATACACGTCAGAAAAACCAATTCAATGTGAATTGATCCACTATAGAATTAGTAAGGCGAGGCTTTTTTTATTCGGAATAAAAAAAAAAAAAAAATGTTTTCTGGTTTAGCAATTAGTTTTGCTGAAAACATCCAGATGGAGGAGAAAATAAAAATAATTTTATAGTTTAATGTAAAATAGGATGGTTAGATGCTTTAAATTTATATAATTAGGAAGAAATATACATATCTTATCTTTGGCGATTTCAAGGCAGCGGAGGGAGTAATAAATTTCTGAATTTTCCACTTTTTCGTAGCAGCGGGTACGCTAATTGGCCAAAAATATAATTTTATTTTCATCCAAAATCATCAATATTTGCAGTCGGCGGGTTCGCTAAACAAGGTATAAAAAAAAGTCTCGCCTAAATGTACCTTACTTTCTGATGTATCTTATCTCAAGCAGCTATTGAAAATCGATTGAAAAGGAATATCAATAAATACAACCAAACAAAAGGGCACAAAAGATACTGGACTATAATACAGTACAAATATTATGATAAAAAATATAGTAGATTAACAAAAAGACTTGCTGGCTACATTAAAGCCCTGTACAGACTATGAAATGTTATTTGACAAAAACATGTGACATACTTAAAATTATGCTTCACAGCATATGATTTCATAGGCTTTCTGGAATAGGCATTTTAAAATCTAATAACATAAAACCTTGAATTGAAGCCCAGTGGGCTTCAATTCAAGGTTTTACGGTATTATTCAGGGTTTCAATTCGAGGTTTTACGGTATTTTACCATCAAAATGTACTAAAAACACAAAAGCTCGCATTATATTAGTTATCGAACACACATTTAATCATCAATTAAAATTTACAAAGAAAAAGTAAGATTAATCATCTTAATAATTACGTTAGAATTTGGGATCAATGGTTTGTCAGTGGGGAAAATGGTGTCCGGTTGAATTCATTTTGCAACGATAGCAACGGAGTAGTACTATGTGACATCGTGACGTAACCCTGTAGTACTTTATAAAGGTGCATCATGACTATGGACATGCAAAAGTTTTTGTCAAAGAAAATTTGATAGTGTAGACATAGCTTTAGAACTGAACAGATATTTCACAAAAAAAAAAACGTCTTTTATAAAACATAATTTCTTTTTCTGTTTGATCCCAAACAAATAAAAGTATCACATTTTTGTCTACTACTATAGCTTTATATTCTAATTTAATGTTGCCTTTCATTAAAATAATCAATAATTGTTCATTACATTATTTCGAATCAGGAGTGTTTCAAGAAAAACATTTCCAAGAAGGTAATGGTGTTAAATGTAATTAATAATTATGTCTATATCACTGGATATTTATAGGTACTGCTTATTGAGCAAAATATCTCTTCAACTGCTAAACTTTCTACAGTATTTAAGTTTTAGCAAATTTCAATTAAAAATGTTACCATTTCTAAATTCTTGGCATATTGTACATTGAAATTGGCTGGTATTTTAAAGTTACTGCACATATTTCCAACAACATTATATTTTTTTTTAATTGTTTTTTACATCCTGTCAATTAAAATTATGCCATTGTCAACTTCAAGTGTTTGATTCAAGGCAAGTACTACCTTCTGACCACCATGACTTCCTCTTCTCATGGTTAGTACACCACAGGAAAGATTTATAAATGAAGTACAGTATTAATAATTGCAACCAGTGCTCTAGTGTTAAAGTGGTCCAAACGACAGCTTGTTTAAATTACATATTAAGATTGACAAGATACATGGCTATCCAACTACTCAATATTGGAATATTATGTCTGATTTTTTTTTCTAAAATAGGCCTGCTAATACTGTAATAAGAATAAGACAAAATTACCAGATCGTTCTCAAGAGGGGAAAACCTTAAATTTTGAAGAACTAAATAGTCAATTAAAGTCGGGAAAGCTCATTTCCGGCCATCTAGGAATCAAAATTTTCACAGGGGAGGATCCCCCACACCCAATGCCTTTTGGGGGTTTTTGGAAACATTTTGAACCCCTCCCCCTTCTTCAAATCCTGGATCTACCCCTGGTAATCTTACTACAATACTTATCAATACTTTAATGGTCATAAATTTAAATAGATTAGCATTAGAAATGTCTTACACTGGGGATTAAAATCCCCTGCAAGGAGTAGTGGATAAAACAAACGGGCAAAAACGTACATTTTAATGTAAAAAATATTAATGATATACAAAAAAATAACAAAAATAAAAAATAACAGCTGCAGCATGTATAATATTTTTTGGAGGTTTAGTGCAGCACTTATTCCAGTGAGGCCCTTATTAGATGGTGGTGCCTAGATTATTACACATTCTTAATTTATATATTATTTTAATACACTGTATATTATACATAAGCCAGGTATTGCTAAACCCCGCAAACCCCGCATACCCAGGGGTTTAGCAATTTTTGTATACAAAAAATAGCCTTTTTACCCCAAAAATAGGTTGTGACGAACATAAAATTCAGATTTTTTTTATTGAGATACCAAGTTGAGTCCTATACTACATGATTCAATCACTATCACAGGGTTTGGATGGGGTTTGCACTGTGTTTTGGGGGGGGTTTGCGGGGTTTAGCAATTTTTTTATACAAAAAATGGCCTTTTTACCCCAAAAATAGGTTGTGACGAACATAAAATTAAGATTTTTTTTATTGAGATACCAAGTTGAGTCTTATACTATGTGATTCAATTACTATCACAGGGTTTGGATGGAGTTTGCGGTGGTTTTTTGGAGGTTTGCGGGGTTTAGCAATGTTTTTATAAAAAAAATGGCATTTTTACCCAAAAAGTAGGTTGTTACGAATGGAACATTATAATTTTTTTTTACTGAGATACCAAGTGAGTCCTATACTACATGATATCATTATCACAGGGTTTGGATGGGGTTTGCACTGTGTTTTGGGGGGGTTTGCGGGGTTTAGCAATTTTTTTATACAAAAAATGGCCTTTTTACCCCAAAATAGGTTGTGACGAACATAAAAATTCAGATTTTAAAAAATTGAGATACCAAGTTGAGTCCTATACTATGTGATTCAATCATTATCACAAGGTTTGGATGGGGTTTGCACTGTGTTTTTGGAGGTTTGCGGGGTTTGCGGGGTTTAGCAATACCCCATAAGCCTATCCAATCCAATTCAAACTTCAACTTATAATATTTAATGGAACAATACTTGTTGCATTATGAATTTATAGCATCATTAATATTAATTTCATGAGAAACCAGCAATATTTTAAAAGTTCTTTGATTATAAAACATGAAGGCATATTATAATTATGTATGTAGTTATTATGTGTTGGAACATTTATTTAAAATAGAATCTGAAGCACTGAAAAACTTGAAAATGGTGGTCAGCGAAATAAAAAATTATCGCTTAAGATCACTTATGGTAGACGGGTTGTTGCAATAAGGTTATTTGGTGTACGCTAGGAATTAAATTTCACTTTTTTTAAAAGAGTAATAGCATGAAGCTATAACATCAAAAATCTGTAATGTAAACAGAGCTATATCATGAACTGAC